TCAGTTTTATGTTCTTCTCATTAACGTCAGATTTGATTAATTTGATAAAATAGAGATAATATCTAAAGGTCAAGATAAGTAAAATTAAACTTTCCGCCTGGTGAACAGAGCCAGTTGAACAGAAAGTGAGCAGAGCTTTTGCGTCAATGGAAGATTTCAATTATAAAATATACATATATATAAAACCAAAAACACATACTTAAAATGATTAGCACTTTTTAAATAAACAATAAATAAACAAATGAACGCACACTAAACCAAAATCTCACTCAGTGAGGTGTAAATGCTTCATCTATCCACTGCGATGGAGACACCAGCACATTCACCACCAAGACATAAGCACTTACTGTACAGAGCACGTGTCAAACTCAAGGCCCGAGGGCCAAATGTGATCCACCAAGTTATTGTCTATGGCCTGCGGACGCTTAAAGAGCATTAAAAAAAAAATTCATTTCACAGCAATGAACAATTTGTTTCTTCTTTAAACAATAATGAACTGCAGGAACATTTATTGTGAAAAAGAGTTTGACGCGCCTGGGACAGAGAATGAATCTTAAGCCATTAGCCTTATTCAGAACTAAGACATCGGTGTGTTCAAAGCTATGGCTCGTTTTCATCTTCTTCACCTTTTATTGACTTTCTTGTCATTTTGACAGAACAGATCATACAGTCAGTCTGTCTCCTGTTTTTGTGCCTGCTGTTCAAATTCCTCCAAACTGCTGACATCGTTGACCTACTTAGATAAACTACCATGACGACAATGAGACACTGAACTGCTGTATTAGCACTTCAGTGAAGTGACAACATATTTACTTAAACTTTTACACTTAAGATTCTGACTACACATTTATCTGTACGGTGCAACAAATGTGTTTTTGTTTTTTTTGTCGTGGTCGTTCGATCTGCATTTTTACTGTACGTCCCATGTATTTTTTAAACTCATATATTTAAAGAAATGTCACAGTAACGTTAAAAAAATCGAATTATCGAGCGCTCTATTTTTTTTTTAAATGCCACTGTAAATGTCAGACACCTTTTATAAGCCTGCTGTTAGACATTGTGCACAGAGTAACAGAGATACAGATTTTTTGTTTTTCTGTAAAGTTCACTCTGCTTCTGTT